TACAAATACAGGCCATTTACCATTATTAAAACGTTAATACAAACTGAATGCAATGATTTGCAAATCTCATAAACCAATGATTTATTCACAGTAGAACATAGAAAACAATGTTTAAACGCTCCATTTTACTATTTCATGAGAAATATTTGCACATTTTGAATTTGATGGCGGCTGCAGGTCTCAAGATGGTTTGTATATGGGCAGCAAAAGGTTGGAAAAACTAAGTGGTACTAAAAAGAAACGGCTAGAGATACATTTTACAAAGGATTAGGTTAACTGGCAATATGTCTGTAACATGACTGGGTACAAAAAGAGCATCTTAGAGAGTTTCTCAAAAATAAAAGGTGGTCACAGGCTCACCAGTCTGGAAAAAATGACATATACAAACTTCAAAATAACATTTGTCAATGTAACATTGTATATCTCCAAGTCTAGGGCAGGGCTGTTGAACTCCAGGCCTCCAGTTCATTACCAGGCCTCTGGAGAACTTCAAGACATGTTGAGGGGGTAATTTAGCCATTTATATGTGTTGGATCAAGGACACATCTAAAACCTGCAGGACACTGGCCCTTGAGGCCTGGAGTTTGACACCTGTGGTCTAGGGTATATTAAATCTGATGTTTCTGATAATCCGGAGAACTCTTTGTGCAAGGGACAAGGAGGAAATTCAACATGTGAACCCCACAATCTTCAGGCCTTCAGGTGGCACTGTATCAAAAACAGACATGGAAATCACTGCCCAGGCTCAGGAACAGTTTGTGTGGGTACCACCGTAGCTCACTTCTTAGGCCATGCAACCATGTTCAGCTTGACCTGGACCTTGCTCCCTGCCATGCCAGTATTACCGTTTTAGAGAGCACCTTCAGACAGTTTAGAAACACACTGTAGATTTCACATATGCCAAACTTGTATACCCCAGCCAGAGTCTAGATTAAGCACACCTTATTGCCAGACTCATGGCAGACTTGCTCTGAATGGCGAACATTCTAACTCCCGTGATCTGAGTGCCAGTGCTGCCTAAATGGTTGCCCAAATGTTATTAAGCATATCTAATGATCAGCCGATCTCCATACTCACAGCTGGCAGCTGTTTTTGGACCAGAGAATGGTGCCATCTTTGAGCCTTTATTGGCCTGAATCATTCTGCTGTAAAGGCAGAACTAATTTTAGCTGACTCTTAAGCTATTTAGTTAATATTTGTGTCAGATTTTTTATCAGAACTCACACAAAAAGGCTTTAAAATATCTTACTTTGATCTTGGACAGTGTGTCATACTCTATATTTCTAGGTTCTTGCGCCTGAAAAGCATTTGCATGAGATGAAAGATCCCCTGTTGTAATATCTCCCATTCTTTATTGTCATGTCTGTGTTTCATAATGGCCAGCCAGACTTTTTACCTTAAATTTTGAACTTTTAATGGTTGCGAGGTTGCCTTCAGAAACCACTGAAACCCAGAAATGGTGATGACAGACTTGAAGACGACTGATTCAGAGATCAGACATGACAAAAAGTACACATCCTAACATTATCAGTAATGGCAACAATCTCCTCTCTTTTCCCGGCTTTGAACTGAGGCTCCCCTCCTCTTCTGTCTGTGATGCATGTTGTCTGGAGGATCAGGCAGTGCAGAGAGCCAGGTGCGAGGGGCAGGAGCTGATAAAGAAGCGAGGCTACTATCAGGACACAGGGCCTGATAAAGGACAACACTCACCACTTCCACTTCCTGATTTATAGCTGTCTCAGCCACAGAGGATCCACGACCACAGCAGTACACTTTTACTATGTTTTATGTTTATTTCTTTTTTGTCATAGAAAAGCTGTGCAGGGGAGATTCTTTTTTTCCTCGAGAGCAATGAAAATAATTGTTAAGTACTCTTAGCCATTAAATACTGACAAAAGCAATAATGGTACCTCAATATTCCACTCTTATGTGACACCCCATTGTGAAAGTATGGTGTGGTAATCTTCTGCAAGATTGTGGAATCTGCAGGAATTTGCTCCCATCCTATAAAGAAAATGCATCAGTGAGGTCAGCCACCGACGCTGGCTGTGTGTGACCGAGATGATAGCAAGAGTATTGAACGGGTCTGTGCTGGTCAGGTCTTCAACAGCAAAATAGTGTAAAGGTCCTTCTGCAAAAAAAATGTGACATGTTGGAAAAGGTCAGAGCAATCCAAAAACTGTTGCAACAAACTTGGAGCCTAAAATATGATTATAGAAAAATGTCATCGGGTGCCAAGGCACTCAGATGTCCCCAAACTCAAACTCAAGACAGAAGGCCACACTGTGAAAAATAGCCCCAGAGCAAAAGCACACATGAATTTAGCATAGACAGTTGCCCTGAATGTCCTGCTCGTGCAGTTTAATTTAAGCATATCTTCATAGAACTGATCATTCCACCTCCACAGAATGAAACGTTTGCTCCTACAGGCTCCCACAGGCCATGTACTGTACATAAAGTGCCACGTTTCTTGCCATATCCACTTCTAAGTGGATAGCTGTTAATCAAGAAAGCAGCGGATGCCCACATTAGATGGAGAGATGAAGGAAATGAATGGCTCTAAAAGAGTAATAAACAGATTAATAATGTGGAGGGTTCCAGCAGCCAGCCTTGCCTCTCTCAATTAGTGCTAAATCAGCGGTGGGTATTAGCCTGCCCCTAATTGAATGTGATAGTGAGCTGTGCTAATGCAATCCTCCCAGTGTAATTGGTGTCAGAGGAAAAGGTGTCTATACTACTAGCCTTTTCTGTGTATGAGGACTTGGATTTGCCTTCTCATTTTTCTTTCATGTCCCCATGAGGGCTCAGTCAGCACCCTGAGCCTGCCCTGCTGTTTCTTTTGAGGGAAACGTTGTCTCAGTCAATCAGTCAACAGATGAGCTAGATAAATCCTCATACTAAAATCAAGGATTTCAAAAGCTCTCTTTGCTTTTTTTCTGGTAGCATCTGGCGAGAGAATACAGATGTTCTCAGCTTGATTCTGACTGAAAAGCGGTGGAAAAACAGCATATTTTGGGCCATATATAATTAGCCTTACAATCTTATGGGAAAGCGTGATTTGTCACTCTCAGTTGAGGCTAGTTCTTTTCAGCATCCGCTGCTGAGAAGGCTTCCCAAAAAATGGTGCTGGCTACTCCCATCCAGTACCTGGCTTTCACTACTTACAACAATTGGTATTCCGGCCAAGGAGTTCAATTCTTGTCTCATCAGAGCAGAGAATCGTTTCCTTCATGCTTTCAGAATGATTTAAGTGTAATTTGGCAAACTCTAGCATGGCCCTCTTGTGGATTTTACTCAGGACTAGCTTCAGTTTCTGACCACTCTCATAAAGTCCTGATTGACTGAGTGCGGTTGACCTTCTGGTAGCTTCATCTATTTTTGGTGACAATTTTCAAAGCTCATTGTGTTCAGCTATTTAGTTTCAGTTCCAGAAAGACTGGTTTTGGTTGGCTTGAAATTTCTTTAGTGATGGAACCCACTGTGCTCCTGGGAACTTCATGGACTTTAGCATCTTTTCTAAAATCCTCCTCCATGGATTTGTGCTGTGGTAGGGCTCTGTCTGGGAAGTTTTTTTATTTCATGGCATAGTTTTTACCTCTGACATGCAGTAAACTTTAAATGGCATGTGTGCGGCTTTCTGTATTCTTTAATATCATGTGAATGTACCTCATGTACACTAATAAAGCTTTATACAAATTCCTCGTTTTCCCAGGAAAAATGGGAAAACAGGTTATTTCCTGTAGCTCTGAATAGTAAATAATGTTTGCCTTGATTCTCATGCTTAGTTCTTAGCATAATTTTGCATGAGAAAAATGCAACAAATTTGATATTTTTTATTAGACATGGAGCACATATAAAATACAAATGTTCTTTTTTTTATCCATTTAAAAAACAGAGTTATTTTTCCACTTTTGTTCATTTCCATTGTTACCGTGTCCTTCTAAACACTCACCAAGAAGAAAGAGTTTTGATTTTAGTGGAATTTCTTTTAAAATATTCTTTTCATGTGTCACTCTACCCAAACTGTTTTAGTGTTCCTTTAGACGTTGGTGCCTTGTCTATTTATATAACAATGCAATGTGTCAGGAGTAACATAACTCTCCAGCCACTTTATTAGGCAAACCTGTTCAACTGCTTGTTAACACAAATATCTAATTAGCCAATCACACAGGAGCAACTCCAATTAGGCGTGTAGACGTGTTCAAGACATCTTGCTGAAGTTCAAACGGACTTTGAAGGTGGCGTGTTTTTTAGTGGCAGACGGGCTACTGTGGGCATTTCAGAAATTGATTTTTCCACACAGTCATCTCTAGGGACAAAACATCGTTTGAATGAAGGTTTTCTGGTCAGAAATGCCTCGTCAAGACCGAGGCTACAATGTGCTCACCTCTACTGGGCAATGGAAAATTGGAAAAACATTAGCTGGTCTGATCAGGCTTAGTTTCTGGTGTAACATTCAGCAGTTTGGGTCACAATTTAGCGTAAACGACATAAAATCACAGCTCCACCCTGGCTTGTATTAATGGTTCAGGTTGCTGATGGTGGTGTAATACTTCTGTTGCACACTTTGAGCCCTTTAATAGCAACTGAGCATGATTTAAACACCGCAGCCTACCTGAGTATTGTTGCAGACCTTGTCCAACCATTTGGGACCATAGTGTACCCAACTTCTGATGGCTGCTTCCAGCAGGATAACCCACCATGTCACAAAGATCGAATCACCTCAAACTGGTTCCTTGAACACAAGTTCACTGTACTTAGATGGATTGGCCATCCTTTGATCGTGGTGGGATGGGAGATTTTCATCACGGATGTGTAGCTGACAAAGCTGCAGTCTATGTGCGATGCCATCATGTCTGTATGGACCAAAATCTCTGAGGAACGTTTCCAGCATCTTTTTGAATCTATGCCACAAAGACTTAGGGCTGAAGCATCCAGTTCTGTGGTGTGTAATTAAGTGGGATCTCAGTACTCTGATTTTCCATCCTCTAGTAAGATTGAATTTTCCAAATCTTCACTCCATATACTGAGCTTGTAAAGTAAAATATTTGTACTGTAAGTTTGAACTTTTTCCTGTATTGGCACAGTTTTGGTTTCTTTGCTTAGCACCTCACCAGTTTGGTCTCCAACATTTTCTCCACACAGACACACTTAACCATTTGTTTGCCTGCTTGTCCCCATCTAGATGAGGCCTGTGCCAACTGCTCTTTTGGGGCAATCTGCGATGCCCAGAGCAAGCAGTGTGTGTGTCCGTCAGAGTGTGTCAAGTCCCACCAGCCTGTGTGCGGCAGCGATGGTACCACCTACAACAGCGAGTGTGAGCTGCATGTGCGGGCCTGCAAACAACAGATGGACCTCCGAGTGGTCGGCCAAGGAGAGTGCAGTAAGTAATGCGTACATTTATGGAGAATATGTCTGGTAGTTACAGTATGTCATCTTCAGTGTGTCATTATTAGTATAAATATGAAGGACACATCAGCGATCTTAGCACAAACTGGTGATTTGATATTAGGCTAGGGAAAAAAGTGTGCAATGTTCATATGTAAAAGATTCATTTCTTTCCTCTGGCTCTGAGTTAAATATGGAAATGACATGTAAAAATAGTGCCCATCAGGAAGCTCATAAAACTGCAGGCACTTCAAATACAAGCAAACTTGTCAAACTGAATTCTCAGATGGGAAATTGCTCCAGCAGCATGTGCTGTATATGTTTTAAAGTGGAATATATTACGAGGGGAAGCAGCGTGCATGACAAATAGAAAAAGGAAAAGAGAAATCCTGTTTAAAAATATATTCCAGAGATGACTTTGAATGTCCATGTGGATCATATCCATCAAAATAACTCACCAGTCATGCTGTGGCCTGCCCCTCTGCTGTGTGTTTAATACAGAAACATGTGGCAACACTGTTTGTGCCATGGGTGCCCGGTGCGTCCAGAATAGGTGTGAGTGCCCGCCGTGCTCAGGCGAGCCCTACTCCCCAGTGTGTGGAAGTGATGGCACCACCTACGACAATGAGTGTGAACTTCGCAGACATTCCTGCACGCAGATGACGAGAATTGACGTGGCGAGGCTCGGCAGCTGCGACGAAGGTAGGAAAATGGACTTTGAAACGGTGTAATTATCTTTATCAAGCGACCTGCGGTGCCGTATTTAGTCGTTTGTGGATTCGTAGCTGCGACGTCTGCGTCGGCTTAACACTGCAAAAAACATGAGGCGACAGCCGCGGTGTGTTTCTGTAAACAAAACCTGTTAGAAATCCAGAAATGACTTCTGGGTGATTAAGCTCAGGTCAGCTGTACGTTTTCAACGCAGTGTTTTCATTGGCTGCTTGTCTGGCTGACTTTGTTCGCGAGTGTGCTGTGCAACGTATGAGCTGCAGCTGGTTTTTGTTTATTGATCTCACCGCTTCCCCCCCATTGCTCCTTGATGCCTCAATAAACTGAAACGAATTAATTGCAGACAGTTTTTCATTTGATATTTGGAACTTGTAGATGGGATCCCAAGCTAAATGCTCCATGCATTAGAGGTAGCTAAAAATGAGGTAAGGGCTGAGTATAGATGACTGAAGTATATTAGAGCCTGAGAATATTATGTCTGCTAAAAAGATGATCTGTGAATTGTAGGCTGGTGATTACTGCATGTACTTTTACCTGAATTTGCAGCACGAGCTGTAATAGCACGAATTATTATGCTCGGCTTTTATTAGGAGGGGGGCTAGGTTGTGTTTGTTTGTGTTGTGACAGCTAGGGTACACATTTTATCTAGCTCTTCTATTCAATTAGGCTTTTAAATGCGTGACCGATGGCACTTAATGTGAGTATCCCTCATTTCCATGCCTGTAGCTTTGTCATCGCTTCGCATTCTGAATAAATGAACTCTAATTCACCGTGCAGATCATATCTTGATCAGCGCTGACAGACTGAGGCGGGATATCACAGTCCCTCGCTCATCCCGTTCTTGGGGACAACTCTGGAGGGAGCAAAATGCCAGCCTCTGGTTTTAAATGCAGACAGTGGCAATGCTGCTGTTCCCTCGTGGCTAGTTGGCCATCACAGTGAACATAGTCATCTACTGACAAGGTGTGAAGGGGAGCAGATTACACCTGCCAGCAGGAGGGATGGCTGGAGAGAAGAAAGGAGGGGGTAGATGGAGGACAGGGCAAATAGAGATGAGGGGGAATCCACTTCCATTTTGATTGCTACAGCCAGGGGTCTTTTTTCTTTTTCCTCCCTAACCCCCCCACTACCATTGTCTGCCGTATTTGGCCCCAGGCCTGCGAGGCGAATCGCACCATCAAAGCTTCTTGTGGCCGATTTAACATCATTTCATTGACTGAGATAAGTTACTTTTTTTGTATGTGGAGCATGAAGAAATGTGAAACTGTATGCCCTCGATGCAGACGTGCAGACTTACTGTCACCACGCACACACGCAGCTACACACTCCTCATTGTCTGTTGGTTGTATCAGGCAAAAAGTACTCTCATCTGCATCCCAAGGGCATTGCTCTGCTTGCAGTGGCTGATGGCTTTGTTTTTATATTTTATTCTCTCTACCATACTGTCTCTCAGCATTCTCCTTTTTCCCATCGCTTGCTCATTTTGATTCAGAGAGAACTGTCAGGCTTACACAATAGAATCTTTTCTTTTTTTTCCCCTTTCTTTTTTCTTTTTGCTCTCCACATCGCACCCTGCTGTCCCACCCACTCACATCTCTTTCCATTTTGCACTCCTCTCCATCAAAATTGTCCTTCTTGACAAAAGGGGCGCCAAGGCTTTCACAGACAGGGGTGGAGAAGGGCTCGGCGGAAATCAATAAATTTCACCCCAGGGGCAGCAGACGGTTCTGTCCCCCCCCCCTTCTTTCGGCCCCCTCAAATCTGACCCGGACCCTCCACAGGAAGCCTGTAAAACAGTCAAAACCAATTTGCAGAAAGTTGTTCTACTTCTCTCCTCCTGCCTGTCTTAAACAGGATTTGCTGCTGATGGATTCACCCTTGCCTACATGTACAGTATCAGTGGTAGATTTGGCAAAATTAAGAGCACATGCTGTGTTATACAGCACCCTTGTCACAGAATGTAATTCTGTTTTTTTTTTCTGGCTCTATTGTAGACAGCGGCAGGGCTCTACATCACCAGTATGCGCAACTCCCCACTCCATACTTCAAATCTAAGATAAGCCCAGAGAGGAAGTGAATGTGTTGATTTATTTGCTTACGTAGACCTGACTTAAAAACCATCCTCATTAGTCTTGTTGGGAGGAGGGGAGCGCACGGCATAAAAATGGAAGTTGTTTTCTCCTGCCTTTTTATTTAGCAGTAATGAAAAATGACAGTGTTCCCACTGTTGGCCATACAGGGAAATTTATCACCTGTTTAATTTCACACTCGGGTAGGCCTGGCCTCAGCTCCTTTTCTCGACACTGACAAAGTGGTAACTGAGAGCAGTGCATCACCTACGGAGGCCCGAGCCCCCTTTTTAATTGAATAGACATTTAATAAACAAGATTATGAGAGCAGGATCACACGGCGATGCTGGATCCTCACCCTCGTCGCTCCTCACACGGCACGGATGTGATCAAGCTCCAAAAGACAGGAAAGGGCATGAAAAAACAGGCAAGTGAGTGGCTGGGTGGCACGAGAGCTTCCCGGAGTGTGATCAGCGCATTTTTCCTTCACGGTCCATTCATCATGGGGGCTTCTAACCTTCCGTTGAGGCAACAAAACTTCTTTTCTCCTCCTGCCATCTAAAAACACCCCATCCTCCCACTGGCTGTGATGCTTCTCCGTCCTACAGGAACTTTATTTAGGCTAACGTGCTGTCACATCAGTCAAAGAAGGTGGTACTGATAGAGGGAGCAAAACCGTTGTCATTTTCAAAGAGGGAGAATTTCTTTAAAGTCATAGATGTTGACATTCAGTCAGGTCATGATATCAGAGGTATCATAGAAATATCAGATGTCTCCTGGATCATTGATGTTGACACAACAAATCTGGTTTGCTGAACATCTACAGCCCCCTCCCCTCCGTCATCTATAATTTACCCAGGTTCTCATGTTTTCTCCTCTTCCCTCTACTTTCATTAGCACACAGTTCAAGACAATACCGTCTTCCTCTTCACTTCCTCTATTATTTCTACTGTCAAAGCCTCTCAGTCTTTTTCGGACATTATTCTTATGCAATTCATTTCCTTTCTTCTCTCCGCCGCTCAATTCTGGCTTCTTAATGGAGCTCCCCTGGCTAAATAGACTCAGGCTTCTGACAAGACTGAGTAAAAAGAAATGGATGGGCAGTACGGAGAGAATAGCTGATGCAGCCATCTTGGCTGGGGACATATTAATTGAAAGGTTCATAGGCAGCGTGGGTGACGGGCACATCAAAGAACAACAGCTAATTAGGACCCCCTCCCCTCGCCTTTCACTTTTATTTATTCCATTCTAGTGTCTTACCTCTTTTTCATATATTTATCTTGTCTGTGTGAAGGGACCTGAGTGGAATATGAATCGGCTACTCCGGCATTTCCTTTTTACTGCGTCGTGCTGAGCTGGCAAACAGTAAACAGATACAGGAAGCCGACCACGGGCTGCTGAGCTCCCGTTCTGTTTCTGATCTCTTCTTCTCACTTTCAGATGCCATCTGACGCCGAGTACCTGCGATAATGTCACTGGCAGCTGAAAGCCATTACGCAGCGCATTAGCTGTGTCACAAAATGTTATGTTTAACTCGGACTGTGGTTCGAAATCAATAAGTTGCAACAATGGCAAATTCAAGTAAACGGATTAGGGTTGGGGCTTTAAAATGGAGACAGAGCGATGCTTTAATAAGCACTGATGGTTCCTAGTTTTTTGGGGGGGGTTTTCTCGGGGAGGCGTGGGGGGGGGGGCACTCTTCACAAAGCTCCAACTCCTCTGTTGAAGGCACAGATAGTAAAGCGACGTCTCCGCCGCCGTATCGACCACTCAGATCTCTCCCAGCACCACAGCTGATGACCCATATCGAAGAACAGCCGGGGCTTCATCGGCCCCTCCCCGCACCGTGCACTGTGACCTGCTCCATAATCTACTTTGGGAGACGGTTTATGCTAAGTGATACTTCCATTACACTATGACATTGATTTAACCATTAGAGGCAGTGCATCAATACACTGAGCCGAACGAGCCCTAAAAGTAGACGAGAAGGGAAAGAAAGACCTCGATTACCTAATGCGCTTTGAGTCTTCTGCCTGCGCTGGGAGCTTTTAGTTGAACTGTAGTCCTTTTTTGAATAACAAATTTGTTTTAAATGAACTTTCTGCCAGCCCCCAGGGTGCCTCGCTCTGTCTGACATTCTTTCCGTCTTTCATGCTGCATGCTTTCTTTCCCCCGCTTTCACACACGTTTACCTAATCTCCCTCTGGAGTTCCACTGTAGGTAAAATTTGCAACTTCAAAAGCCAGATCCTCCCATTTTTCTTTTGCCTGCACTTTGCAATCCCCCCCTCCCTTCCCCAAATTTGTCTTCCTCAAGTCAAATACCCCCCCC